CAGATTTCATCCTGCATAACACCACTAGCCACCTACTCTACTACCCATCAACCAACTAGCTACCTGTACAACATCTCAAAAAACCATCATCAATTCTATCTTCCCTCTCTCTAATCTACCACATCTACCCCCCAACCCCCATCTAGTCTCTCTAGTCTAGTCTGTCTGTCTCGTTGTTGTATCGATATCTACAATACACCTACTGTATAAATCCCAACTCCCAGAACCAAAAAGTCTAGCCAGCCCTTCATCCATCCATCCATCCATCCATCTAACTTTCAGTGTCTTTCCCCCCTTTTTTTTTCTCTCAAAACGTAGCACACAGCAACAAGCAAAAAAAGCCAGGATATTTTTCATTCATCTCATACAAAAACACATCGCGCGACAAAATATCAACAAGAGAAAATGAAAAAAAAATACAAAAGAAAAAGGAACAATTTTTGCTGCCACCCAGACAAGATTAAATAACCACCCAAACGCCTGCCTGCCGCCTAGTCTGCCGCTGACGAAGAAGAAGAAGAAGAAGAAGAAATAAAATGCACATGGAAATGCAAAATGCAAATCGGGCTTTTTCGTGAAAAAAAAATACCCGGCCCTCCTCCTTCATCAGGCTCAATTGTCAAAGAACGGAGGGGGTGGTGGTGGCAGGGTCTTTGTTGACCCCGCATGGGTCGTCGGCGGTAGATAATCCCTCTTCAAAACTCTCAATGATAGAGAAACGAAGAAGGACATCAAAGAAATCCATCCCAACACCATGACTTGACATCATGATGCGCTCCGACACAAGTCAGCAGTGGGTCCCCCCGTTGGCGGCGGAATGGGTTAGGTGAGGTGGACAGGACCTCCGAACCCCATTGCCGGACTCTCCACCCCCCACAACACCTTTCCCCATTGCCGAAAGGGCCGTCCGTCCACCCGTCCGCGTCCTTCGCGCTTATAAACAACGAACCGGCCGAAACTTAATACCACCCTGACCCCCCAAACCCAGCCATTTAACCTCTCTCTCCCTTCCCCCCCCTGTTTTTCCTTTCCCTCTTTACGAGCTCTTCACCGGGTTCTGCATCCACCCAGGCAGCGTCTGCCACCCCTTCGCATTCACCCCCAACGGCGCACGTCCAAAGTTCTCATCCAGATCCAACAGAATCTTGAGCGCGTTTCTCGACCGGTAGAATGGGCTGTCAGGGTGCTTCTCTTTGAGCGTCTGCACAACGTCCGCAACACCAGTCGCCACCTCGGCCTTGCCCTTGCCAGGGAAGGGGAAGGCCGTCTGGAGCAACTCGTACGCGGCAAGAGTGAAACCGAACTGTGGCGACGAACGCATGATTCTGGCAGGACCGCCCTTGAAGAAGGCACGGAAGCCCTCCTCCTTCCAGATGGTCTTGGCGGCGTGGCGGAGGCCGGTGTACTGGGTGTCGCCCTTGCGGGCCTCGACCTGGAGACGGGTCTTGATGACGTCGCATGGGGTGGTGAGATAGGCGGCGGGCATACCGGCGATGGCACCGGCAGTGAGGAGCTGAAGAATACCGAGCTTCTTGGTCTGGGACTCGCCAAAGAGGTCCTTCTTCAGGTGGGAGTAGGTTGGGAAGTAGATGGCCGAGAATGGCACATCGCGGAGCAGGCAGGCGGAAGCGCCCTTGTACAGACCGACGAGACCAAGGTTGCGGATGATCCACATGGCCGACCGTCTAGGAGCACCCTCGAGCGACTTGGCGACCTCACCCTGAACCTGAAGACGAATCTTGACAATCTCGAGAGGGTTGGTGAAAACGACCTGGCAACCACCGGCAGCACCACCGGCGATGACCTCGTGGCCCCACCAGATCTGCTTATCCTTAGTGGTGAACCATCCACGAACGAGATCGTTGACGGTCAGCTTGATGGCCTTTTCTGGGGCAACACCAACAAGCTGTGGGAGGACACCAGAGTACAGACCGCGGAAACCCTCGTTGCGGATGACCTTTTTGAAGCAGTCGATCGAGTTGTTGTACAGCCTCTGGCCGGGGTTGGCACCTCTCTGGTTCTGCATGCGAGTCTTGACGAGATCGATGGGGTACACCATGAAGGCACCAAAAGCACCGGCGATACTGCCGAGAGCGAAGCCGTAGGCGGACTCGAGACCCTGGGCGAGGAACTTTTGGCCGGCCGACCTGGTGGTCTCGGTGACGGCACGGACGGCATCCTCATCTCCTTGTCTACTCCTCCATGATGGGTCGAGCACCTTCTTGAAGTCCTTCAGGCCAAGACGGCCAGATGGCTCATCAAGGCTGGCGAAGTGGAAGAGGATATCGGCCTCCATCGGGGTGAAGAGCGAGAAGCGGGTGATCTTGGCGGCCTGGTTGAGGAACTCGGTCCTGGTGATCTTGCCGTCGGTGCTCTTGGCGCAAGCACGGCGGATGATGAGTTCGACGAGGTCCATCTCGTGGATCATGTTCTGGAAAGCTCGTACGTTGGCGTAGGAAATCTTGGAACCCTGAGAAATGTTGCACAGAGTGCTCAGGTTCTCGAGGAGGTAGTCCGAGAGCTTATGCCTCGCGGTTTCCTTGATGATGCGCTCAAACTCCTCGGGCTCGATGTAGCCATCGCCGTCCTTGTCCAGATGCTGGAAAGCCTGGCGGACACGCTCACCCTGCAGACCGCGCAGCATTTGCGAGAACTGCTGGTAGTCCATGCTGTGTTTCGCCTTGCTACCGATGTAAAGCTTTGCCCAGTCACACTCCCAGTCGAATGGGATGCTATCCGGCCCCTTGTTCAGCTCGTACAGCCTGCGGAAGTCCTCGTACTTGACCTTCCCGAGGCGCTCAATGTCGAAGAGGCGGAAGGCGATCTCATATTCGGCATCGGGCTTGGTGAGAAGGTTCTCAAAGTAACCCCAGTCGGCGAGCGTCACCTTGCCCTTGTTCGATCGGTCGGCAACATGGAACAGGATCGAGTACTGTTCCCGCTTGATCTTGTGCTATTTTATATATAAAGATCACACGTCAGAAAAGGTGCTGGACTGGACAATGCGCCAGCCAGTGCAGAAAGGACTCACGTAATCCTCCGACGGAGGGGCAACAGCGTTGATGAACTCGTCGGGGCCGAGGTAGGGCTCGGCGCCATCTTCCTTGATGGCATGCTTAATGAAGCGCGCCTTGGTCTGGGCCGAGAGCTCTTGTGGTTCTGTTGACCCAACCAGCGTCTCTTTGACGGCCTCCTTCACGACGGTGACCTTGGACATGTTTGTTGTGTGTCTAGTCTAGATGCTTGATATTTGCGAAACGAACGACGTTGAACTGGTTCAGTCAGCACCAACAGCACTCAAGCCGTTAACGCCGTTGTCGCAATCAGCCTATAAAGTGTGGGGTCGCGAAGTGGCCGAAGTTGAGTCAATTTGCGCGCTGGCAAAAGACGTGGGTTGCGTACCGCAAAGAGATTGCGAGCGAGGGAGAAAAACAGAAACCGAGGTCGTCGTTTAAAAAACAAAAAAAATGACAGACGAAGGTTTGTGTCACACGAGGAAGAGTTGTGGTGGCTTGGGACTCGCGGGTAGGTAAAGGGTTTCTGACTCAAGCCTCGCAATGCGCAACAAAAAAGTTGTCTGTCAACAACGAAAGGTGTCTGATGACTGTTCCTGCCAAAGAAGGGGAGGGGAGGGGGGGGCTGGACAACTGGGACAGGACAACAACGGAAAGAGGAGGGATGTGGGATGGAGTCTGCCGAACCGGAGACGACGGGGTCAAGGGTTTTTGGGAAAAAAAAAAAAAAAAAGAAGTGGATCACGTCCAAATTTGGGGCAGAACAAGAACGAGAACGAGGTATGGAAAAAAAAAAAAAAGAAAAAAAAACACCACCACAAAATTCTGAGCCTTGCCTAGTACCCAGGAAAAAAAAGTGAAGTCGCAGTTCCTCTTTTTTTTCCACTCATAACTTCCCCAGGCTTCCCCACCACCTGACCAATCCCAACCAGCAATTCACCAGGTCAAACAGTGGGGGGTGTGGGAAAACAGGTTCTTGGCAGCGGGATCCAGTTACACAATAGCCGAGAGTGATTTGGCTCGGCAGCGCGGGAGCCGCCCTCCGACCCACGCCGGTCTGGACTTGTAACCCCAAGCCGAAAAACACCCGGACACTCCGAGGTTCACTTGCCTCCATGAGGGGGTGATGCTCCAGGCCCTATACCCTCATTTCACTCTCTGAACTCGTAATAGCCTCAGGTGACCAACTACTCCCGTCAATTTCCCAGAAGATCTCGGACACCAAAAAAGGAAGGCCACGGGGATCCCCCCAAGATCGCCAACAACCAGGGGGGCCACAAAAAAGCTTAAATTCTTCAAGATCTGCACCAGCGTTTCAACTGACAGTCACTGACAGGCAACCCCCCTTTCCATCCTGTCAGACGTCAATGCCATCTCTTCTCACACCTCACTGATATAGAAAAGCTGTTTGTTTCTAGAAGACATCTGATGTTTTGACACCACCCATAGTCTTGAATTTGTGTTTCCACTAGTTAGTATCATGAGATCATCACCTGATCCCTTGCGTTTTTCTGCAAGATGAATGTCTCAGCATCACATAAAGCCACATGGCATCCCTTTGAAGACTTGGCCTATATAATTTCCTTCTTGTGTAGAAGGTGATCTGGCTGTACTATCTTGTTTTGAACACAGCGAGGGGTCTCTCACATTGAACTTGCTCTTCATAATAACAATTCAAGTGTAAGGGAGTGTATATCAGGTACCATATGATACTGCAGAGAAAATGACAGTTGAGATGGTCATCAAACAGTCACAAGAGTGAGCATCATTCACATCATTCACATCACTCACCTCACTCACCTCACTCACATCACTCCCATCCCCAAATCAATAAGACAACACCGTGTCACATCTATTGGCATCTAAACCCCTCAATCGAACTTAGTCCCATAATGTGATGCCCACCCCTAATATCTATCCCTCCCTCCATAACAGAGAGAAGAAAAAATATCAAAAGAAAATAGCCATCATGCCCCCAGAAAATATTATAATTTATACACATAATAGTAGCCCGCCAGCCCCAAACACCTTCCTTTCCCCCCCAACCCCTCCTTTCTAAAAGAGAAACAAACAGCATTGTCCCTCCAATGATCCTGGTTGGAAAAGAAAAAAGAAAGAAAAAAAAAGGCAGCAGACATAAAAACACACAATTTCCCAACCACCCATAAAACACCAGCCCCCCCCTCCCCCACAATCCCAGATAACCCCCCATTCCATTTCCCAGAAAGAGAACCGAGAAGAAAAAAAAGACGCCTTGCTTGCTTGCAGCTTTGTTGACCACCTCTCTTCAGGGTGTCATCAATAAGCCACGGGGATATCATTTCCATATAAACCACCACCACCCTCCCACCACCAGAATGTTCCCCCTAACCTCCCAATTCCCGAATGCCTTTGTACCACCCAAACAACGCCATGTAAATGACAGCCATGAATGCTTTGCTCAGGATCACCAACCAACCCTCAAACCTTCATTGCTTCGCAATCGTGACAAAGGAGAAGAAAACCGTATTGACATGAGAACAAGGGAAATTTTTGCGCAAAGAAATGGGCAAAAAAGACAAGGTATCGTGAGAGGGCATTCGTCACATCGTCAGAAGGGCGAATATGTTTCTGTCGACTTTTTGGTGGTTGTCGTGGAAAAAAACATTGTGTGCATCGAATCCTGGAAGTCTGTCCCATTAGCCAAGACGCAGTGTTCCGCAAAAATCTAATGCATGATGGGTTGCATTGAAATAGCGAGACGTTGCGACGAGTGCCTGGAAAGAAGAAGAAAAAACCTCCGATGCGAGAATAAAAGCGGAAGAAAAGAAAACGAAGAAAACAAAGAAATTATTTGGTGGTGGCCGATAGCAAGACCAAAAAATCTCTGCCACAACCTTTTGGTGTCTGTTTGTGTCGAGGGCAAATGCCAAAAGACGCTTGCTGGCCCAGAAAACAAAAAGGTGAAGCACCAACGTGGCAAGATCAAGAAATGAGATCCATGCTGTGGTGCTGCGACGGTTTCCAGCAAATGCATGCTTGAGGTTGTCGCAATGAACAAGTACATCGAAGTGAAGAGCCTGTCAACATGGTTTCTGGGCGGAAGCGAGGTCCGAGACTTAGGCCTCAAGGGCAACAGGCAAGTGGTGGTTGGCGCGGAAGGCCTCACACTCGGAGCCCGACGAGCTCGCGGCCTCGGCCATGGCGCTGTAGAGGTAGGACAGCGTAACCCCACGAAGCATCTTGGCCTCAACATAGGTCGAGGCGTTCTTGTACTTGGGGGACGAGTATTTATCATAGACGGCGCTGTGGTGCTTGCGAGGCTCGCGGCAGCATTCAAACATCATGTTGATGAGTGGCTTGAGCTGGCTCAAGGTGTAGCCAGAGTAGTGAACGTGAGAAAGAGTCTGGAGAACGGTTAGTATCCGAGATGCCACAAGACGCAAGACAAGAACTACATACCCAATCGCCCTTCTCAAGGAACATGCGAGAGATGCAGTGGGCACCGGCGGCAATGTAGCTGGCAGGGCTGCCAACAAAGCGCTCGTCCATGATGGTGACCTCCAAGAAATACTTGGCCAGAGTGCGAGTCTCCAACTCGTAATCATCAGCCTTGCTAATGCGACGCAGAAAGCTCATGGGACCGGGCCAGCCGAGCTCAAACTGAAGCATACTAAGCATGAAGCGCTCCGCCTTGAGGATCTCGTCCACGTTGTAGCCCGAGTCGACCATGTACACAATTTCCTGGACTGATGGGCAGTTGATCTCCTCGTACTTGGCGGCAACGAAGAGGGCCGTGGCGCCGACAAGTTGGAGCTTGCCGAGCGAGACAATCTTGACCGATAGGAAGCGGTCAATGTAGTTGACGGTGAGAAACAGCGTCTCGGGGAGCAGGCAAAACCGGTGATGTACCTGAATCAACCAGTCCATAAGAACTGCGCGCATCGACCACTGGATTTCGGTCTGGTTATCCATGTAGTGGGGATTGGGGACCATGGAATTCTGCACAAAACAAAACTGTTAGTTCCGTGGCTCCTGACGCGCTCCACTGCAAAAAGTACATACCTCGAGCTGTCTCATGTAAGCAAAGATCTCTTCGCCATACTCGGCCACCATGCTCACGTCCCAGGCCTCTTCCTCAATCTCTTCCTCCGTCTGAGTAGAAAGAACCCAGTCCTTGGCAATGGCAAGCTCTCTCTGCGCATTGAGGCTGGAAGCAGGAGCTACCATGGTGGTCAGTCCGCCCGTGGTGTTGTCCCCATGAGACCGATAGGAGTGGGCTGTCGTGTATCCATGATCCTCGTAAACACCCGAGTGATCCTCGTCCGAATACTCGTCCTCCTCAGCTGTGGGAAGGGACTTGGCCACCTGCGTGATGGAAACGGACACATCGGACTCGAGCTCAACCAGATTGCGGTTGCCAATGCCGGCGGTGTCGTACGAAATCTGCTCCACGGCGTCCTCGTAAGCCGCCTCGGTAACATTGTCGTCGAAATCGCTCTCGTCATCGAGCTCGGCGAGCTTCTCGGTCTGGACCGCAGCCTTGGACTGGGTCGGCTTCTGGGAGGCCTGCTCTGCCTTCAAGGATGGCTGGCTCTTGTATTGACGCGGGCGCTTAATCTGCTTGTCAACCATGGCAACCAGATCGTCAACGTTGGTAAGAAGCTCGACACGACCGGCAACTTCCTGCTCATTGCTGTCTCTGTAGATCATGGTGGGCTTGATGTTCCTGGGAACACCATTCTTCAGAGGAGGTTGGGCAAGGGCGCCGACGGGACGTTGCTGGTTGAGGCTGTTGGCGTTACGAGCGGTGGGCTTTGTGACATCGACCGGAGCCACGTTGTAGGACTTTGCAACCGGAGCAGGCGCAACCTGGTGGTTCTCCTTCTCGTCGTTGCGACCGGCTCCGGCGACAGTAGGAGCGGCAGCATTAACAACCGACTTGGCGCGAGCGCGAACAGCCTTACCGATGGGCTCGTCGGCCAAGGGGCGATTGGTGTTGCTCAAATCGTGGAGGATGACTCTCTTGGGAGGAGCGTTGAGGGCACCCGTGTTGGCCATAATCTTGACGGTGCCAACGGACTTGTTTCGCTGGTGCAAGGAGGGCTTGTTAGAATGGATGTGCTCGGTGATAGGAGGGGCGGCTTGGTAGATGCGCAGAGGGCGCTGAGGCTATTTCGGGAAGAGAAGTTGGTTAGCCTGTCTGTCATGGAAGATTCGGCAGAACGGTCTGGGTTATGTAGAAGCTCGTCTCGAGCGACTTCAGACGGTGAATAGACCACGAGGCTTTCCACCTGAGCAAGTCAAAAGTGGAGGGGCAAGGTGGGCGCTCGTGGACTTGCGACCAACGATGATGGGATGGCAGAATTGGGTAGAGGGAGGAAGTGGGGAGGAGTTCTGGGCAAAAAGACATACCTTGGCATCCATGATGTCGGATTTTTACCTTCTATTTGATGTTGGTTGAGGCTGTTGTCGCAAAGACCTTTTTCCTTCTGGATATCGTCTTGGTTGCGGGAACGATGAGACGAGCGGTTGAGATGGCAGTTGTCGAGTCAGAGAAGAAGTCTTTGGTCTCTGGAAAAGTGAGGTAGTGGTGGAAGAAGGCGATGTGGTTGTTGTTGCGAGGAGAGCAGAGAGCAGAGGGCAGAGAAAAGGTGGTCCCCGCTCCTGAATCGAAACTGAATACTTTATCGTCGTCCCTCGGGATGGATTCTTCCTGTTGACAATACTGGGAAGCCGGCGAATAGGCTTGAGGGCATCGAGATATAAAGCGGAGCAACGAGGAGAGCAAGGCGGGGGGCTGGTGAGGCTATCGTGGGCGCTGGTTGCCACGGCGTCGCAAAAATACCAGCGCAGCGGGAAGGAGGGCGCGTGGGTGTCGGGAAGGCACCTCAATAAATTCGACACGGTCAAGCGTCAAGCGGGGCGCGCCTTCACTCACTGTATCGAGGTCAAGGACATGAGTAAGAGGAACCTGAAGCAACGATTGCTGTGCGATGCCGACAAGAACCTTCCAACAGCAGAGGTCGCGGGTGGAGCAAAGGTTAAAGAGACAGCGAGAATGTTTTTCACCATGTGTTTATTGACAAGATGCAAGTAAACACAGACAGAGTTCCATTTGGGCGGTGTGGTCCGTGCATGCCCGTCTGGGTTGTTACGGCGACCCCAATCATATGCACATGTTCCAATTCCTGGGATAGGAACAAAACAGCATCAAATGCCCTTTGAAATTTCACATTTGAAGAACATGGCCATCATCATCATCACTTACAGCCTTGCCATTCTCCATCTCAGCCCGGCCGGGTAGGTCAACTATGGAGTTCTGATCTCCATCGTGGAGTCTGCAAGCCCAAATCCAGCAGACTAACGATGCATGTGTTGTCTCGCACCAGTAATCAACAAGCATGCTCAAAGCTTACATAACTCTTCCATGGGGTGACGTAGCCCCCGCCGTCTGGGCACTGGCCTTTTTCGCGACCGGCGCGTCAACTTCTCCAGGACCTTAATTAAGCAAGCTACAGCAAATCCCACCACATTATTTCTCACAAACCATTCTCGACTTATATCAACCCTAATCTCTACCCAGAGCTGGCACCTACCATTGTTTCCTCTTTATCGCACTCCTATTGGTCCACAGCTGCGTCTTTTTCATTTTCCCTGCCACCAGCTTTTACGCGTAGCGGGGCAGACCGGGGCCCGCCCCCGTTCGCGTTGTCACGTGAGAACCTTGCTGGACTTTGAGGTTCTATTCAATCACGACTTTCCTATTGTCAGTCGCCAATTTCGATCTTTCTCTTCTCCCAGATTCTCAAGAGGATAAATCGCAGCCTGACGAGGCCATTCCGGAACCAGCCATGGGCCAGGATCCCCATCCAAAGGAAAACTTTCAGCGCGGCGGCGGTGGGTGGAGAAGTCGGGCCACTTGACCAACGGCCGCCGATACCTACCTAAGCACTACCAGCCATCTAACCCGGCGCAGCAATGGCTGAAGCACGCCTTGTGTATCAACACGAGAAGTTACCAGAGCTTCTGGAGAACCGGGTATTAACTCTACTTTTCTCTTCGTTTTCCAGAGACTCCGGTCAACGCGAGGTTTGGACAGTCCATAGGCGACACCGAGAAACCCTGCTCCGGGACCATAAATTGCCTCGACGGTCCTCGACCCCTCTTGCAGAATGTGACAAGAGGAGAAGAACCCCTCCACTCCCTCCAACTTGAGCTTCGATCGCATGTGCCATGTGGTGGAATCCTACGCTACCTCCTCACAAAGAGACGGCGCCCACCTGAGCAATTGAAACTTTGACTTTGCCAACGGAACGGATGTGCCCTGCCGCGAAGCGACGGTCGGTCGATAGCAGGGGTGGGTTTTGCTGGTGGCTTCTTCCGCGACTCGCTCCGCTGCGGAGTAGGCTGCTTAATATGATGCGATCTCTTGCGCAGCTTCGATTTATGTAGCGCAATCAGCAACGTGTGCCCTTTCTGCGACATTGGCACACACGTCAAGGTTTTTGTGGGCGTGGCGAAAACAGGGACCGTCCCCCTCCTCGTTGCGAGGGCATGCCACCATGCCTACCTGCTCTGAGCTACTGTGTATTCTCCTCCGGAGTGTCAAGTGTTTGGTCAGATCTGGGGAACAACGAAGCCACGAGCCAATGGTGTGGGGCCGGAGCTTCTTAGTTGTGTGTGCCCCACAGGATCGTGGACGGACTCTTTTGTCTCTTTGTGAGTTTGGTTGCGACAAACATGACGGATGGAGTGGTCGCAACCTTCCAAAAACAATGCGCCGTGGTACCTGGTGACACCAATGGCTGGATCCTGTCCGGAAAGCCCGCCAGAGACTCTTGCGACAAAGCCGGGACATCAAGCAAAGAGGAGGGGAATCGAGGGCGTCTGGCGGTTGCAGATCGGGCGCTGGAAACGGGCAAGGGTGCCGTTGCGGTCATGGAAGCAGCCAAGATCCACGGAATGGAAGCCACTGGCGCTGACAGTCACTCACCTCCAGCAAATGTCCAGGAGTCCAGCCAAAGCTCTATGTTATGTACGTGCATGTACGACCCGCCACCAACCAAGACCCCTCCCCCCTACTGCCCAGAGAGAATTGCTTCCTCTCCTCGCTTCCTCGCTCGCCTCCAGCTGTCCGTCTCCTCCGTCAAAGGTGGAGCGGGGTGGGAAGTGCCATGGACGCAAGTGCGCTCGTCCGGGCCTGAGCTGCATGCGGTAGTTGTGATGGATGGCGAGCGTAGAGGGGTACACTAGCATCTTGACTTGGAGATATCACCACCACCTTGTTAGCGTTTTCTGCAACAGCGAGCTTCGAGGTGACCACGGCCGTCCCCAAGGACCAAGAATCACGAATAATAGAGCAGTGACAGGTAATAGGCGGGTCTGCGGGTCCTTTTGTTGACGGTCTGACACTTGGGAGAACTCGGAGAATCTGGCGCGATGATTCGATGCAGGCTCTGCATTTGAAACTTTGCCAGCGCATCGAGCCGCGCCCGATCCTCCCCTCTACAAACCAAGGACGGCACACCCGCGCTCGCGCAGCGCACACAAAGTTACCTCACAACAATTGCCAAAAAGAGGGAACAAACGGCCGGCTTGCCTCGAATACACTCGGCCCAAGACAACCTTAATGCCACTGAGGGGGAGCCAGCCGCGGGGCAGGCAAACAGTTCATTTCAGACTTTTTGCTATCCATATCAGTTGTGCGCCTCTGCATGCTGCTTCGGTCAATGCCGGAAGCTCCCCGTTTGCCCGGCGTTCCTTATCTTTTGCGATCTCTCACAATCTCACAATCTTTCCATCAATACCCCGCGCATTTGCGGTGAGCCCAGTCTGATATCTGGACGGCTTGCGCCGTTGTGTCTCCCGTGGAATCTGACCATACATCTCTGGAATCTCTGCCCATCAGCGGAGATTTTATCTGAAAATGCAACTGCTCTGCTGCAGGTAGGGCCACGGCGCCACCTTGCTGGCCACCTTGTGGACAAGATAATACTTATCTATCGAGTGGCAGTGTTTATTTTCTTGTCCACGACAGCTGGGCTTGGGCAGTCCTGCCTATCAGTGCCAGGCACATCTACAGCAGACCCCTGTTGCTGCGCTACCTTGCTGGCGACTGCCATTGGCCGATGGAGGGGTTCGAGATGGCTGCAACGGGCACCTTGGGGGGTTCATGAACCTCTCTGGCGCATTCTCATCCTGTGGGCTCGACTTGGCCACTGGCCAGAGGGGACCCAGGGCGTTGACCCTACATTTGAGCTCTTGTGTTGTGTGCCCAAGAATACCAGGCGGTCCTAAATGGTCAGACCAACAACGGCTTCCCCCATGGTCATGATTGGTGAGGCCCAGGAGAAGGAGGGCTTCCCCGGTGAGCAGCCCGTGTTTCGTAGACTGCATGTCGGTATATGCGCCTTGCAAGGCAAGCATCAAGCTTCTTCTTCTTCTTCGCGACTGTAAACAGCGACTGTAAACAGCGTCTGTCTTGGGTGTCTGGAAAACACTTGACGGATTTTAGCCGCGCGCAGAAGAAGAAAAGAGAGCGGTCTATGTATCGTCTCGATCGACCGGAAGGCGAATTAAATGATCTCTCAGAAACTGGTATTCGTGCAGACACTTCTCGACACGCACAACCTCACCTCCAATGCAGCGGGCCTTTGCCTTGACTGCTCCTGCTGCTGCTTGCTACTTCGGGAGACTGCGCCATCGCATGTTTTGGGACTCTACTCCTGGGAAGAGTGATAAGAAGGAATAATACCTAAGAAAACAGGACCTGGCACAGAGAGAGATGACAGCCAAGTCTTGAATCGGAATGTGCCTGCCCTGAAAGAATATCGCACATTTCTCAGATCTCGGCGCAAAGCGGAATGCGCCCCGAATGCGCTGTGCATGATACAAGAGACCCGAAACAACAAAGCAAAGCAGCAGCAGCCACTGCTGTTCTCTGCTCTGCCTTCTGTCTCTTGCAGTCTTTGGTTTCTCCCATCATCAGAAGAGAAGCTTCCTGAAAATAGATGCACTGGCAGGGGGAGTGTGAGTGACCCAGGCCAGGTTGGCAAAAGCCATCTGGTGATCAGTGACCGGGAAGCTTGCCAGAGGTGAGGTAAGGTTAGGTGCGGTCAGTGTGGATTACCACGTCTGCAAGCGCTCCGCTGGCTGGGTGGATGGCTGGCCGTGCGAAAAGCGCCCAGTTGGCAGCTCCTCGCACCCTGGCGCAAGAGCTAGATGAGGATGCGATCGGGGGGGGAGCGCAAGGCCGGAAATTGCCCAAATCACAGATATCAAGAATCCATTCACAATACCTTAAGCCAGTCCAGCCTGTTCCATCTGTTCCAGTCCAGTTTGTTCTGCTGTTCTGCTGTTCTGCTGCTGTTCTGCTGTTCTGCTGCTCTCTCCATTGTGTCGCGGTGGCACAGTGTCGAGGACTGCCCTGAACGGATCCGCGCAAAGGTCAGGCAGTTTGGTGTGCGGGTGTGCGATTACCGGCATCTGCTCTTTTAATGCAGATTCTTTGCGACTCCTCCGTTCTCTTCCTCGCCCACAACCTCCGAATTGCTCAACCCGGTGCCATCAAACCAACCAAGTTCCTCTGGTAAGCCATTGTCCCCCTCCCGGCACCCCATCCCATCGCCCGTCACCCATCGCCGGCTTCCGGCTAGCCCGATTCTTCTTCTGCTCCCACCTTGCTCACACTCTGCCGACTTGACTAGGTCGGGCCCGCATCTTCAACAACGAGAGAGAGAGAGAGAGAGAGAAAGAGAGAGAGAGAGAGAGAGACGACAAGAAATCGCAGCTCAGTTCCTCCACGACACCACCGCTTCCCCAACCTTGCCGTAAGCCTCCTCGCTCCCTTCCGTCCCTTGCGACCCCAACACCTTGCTCTGTATACCTTCTATCTGCTTTCAAGCAAGCTTGCTTGCCTTGCCCCCGACGAGCACCCGCTTTTGCTGTGTTGCGCTCGCACCCCGACCATCATTACCTCCTACCCATCGAGCATTCCTACACCCCTGGTTCCCCACCGCATTTCCTGTGTTCGATCAGCCCTTCATGGCATTGCCTCTTCTACCTGCTGCTGTCCATCTGCACCCAGCTCTAACCGTCGCATTGCTCTGTCCAGATCCAACAACTTCCCAACACCGTCCGGCACCACCCCAGCAGCACCCACAAGAGTCGGCTTGGTCCTTGCGGCACTGGCGGTGACCTCAATCAAGGATAGACCACTGTCCATCCGCCCCTCAAGCCGGACCCGTCCGTTGGCATTGTACCCTCGTCGCCTTTTTCGAGCGCTTGTCCACTGCCAATGCGATTGTTGAGTCCTTTATCGACCGAACAAAACCAACGGTGCTGAGCCCCACCGGCGACACACATTCCATCACACGACCTCCTTTACGAAGCCACCGTCGACGGTGCGATACACTAGATACACATATACATATCATACAATGGCAGCCATGTCGCCAACCGGGATAGGACAGGGGCGCCCAGGTCAGCCTAACGGCAGCATCTCGCCCCGTACCGTCGCGGAGCCCAAGCAGGTTACGTTCGTCTTGATCTTCCAGGCATCGCGGGGGCGCCTGCCCCTTCGTGTCAAGATCTACCCTCACGACGCCACAGAGTCGATCGTGTCGACGGTCAAGAACTTTTACGGTCTGTATACCACCCAGACTATCTCCAAAGGCGTAAGCTTTGAGGATGCGGAGGGCAACATCCTCATTCCCCACTACGAGAACTTTGTTCATGATATGACCGTTTCCGTGCGGGTTCACGACGAGCTTCCCCGGCCGTATTCCTATGACCACCCGCCAGCGCCCCAACACAACTTTTATACCGCCGAAACCTTCATGTCCCAGTCGCCTCTGCCACCACCTCCGCGCCCAGATGACCATCTCTTTGCCAGACCTCACTCGCCGCCTGCGTCACGCCTGCGTAGCCCTTCGCCTAATGGCGGACGTGGACGTCGCAGCGGCTCGGCAAACAACAACCCCGGCTCCAAGAAGGTACGGTCACGTTCTGTCAAGAACAGATCGCAGTTGAATGGCGACAGTCACGGTGAAAGCTTCAACGGCTACAGCAGCGGCGACGGCGCGCCAGGCTCGTCGTCGAGCAAAAGCAAGGACCATCTCGGCAACACGGAAATCAGTGTGGACAATATCGTCGAGGGTGGCCGTCGCAAGCGTCCCAAGTTTGACAGCTCGGTATGTTGAAGACGTCGTCTAACGGGTTGTGAATGCTGGTTTCTGACATGAGTTTTATTTGTCTCCAGGAGTTGCCTCTCTATGCCCCTCTGCAGATGCCCGCGGCCACGTCCAACCCTTCCGTCTCACCGGCGCGGCGTGCTGATCATCAGCATCGTCCCTCGCTGCCATATATTCAGTCTGGGCCAAATCCCTTCAGCAATCCTCGGCCTTCTTTGCACTCCCCACACAGTTACAACAACGGGTTTGCGCACCCTTCCACGTACCCCACGCCCAGCAGTGACATGCGGCGCTCGCGCGGCAGCTTCGGCTTCGCGGCCACGCCGGGGATGCCCATGGTGGCGACACCAGACGGCACCGCCAACAGCTGCATGTCTGAGGAAGACAAGGACGTCGCCATCCAGCTTATGCGCCTGGGTGAGATCTCCACGCATGGCCGGACGTCGGCGTCCACCATGGACGACACCTTTAGCGGCAGAGCGGACGCCACCTCGTCGACGGGTGCCACCAGCGAGGCGGACAGCGATCACGACGTGCCGGCGGCGCGGAGACAGAAGCTCGACGCTGCCGGTCACCACAAGAAGGTCCTCCATACCACAGAGAGCCACTTTGTCGGCCCCGCCGACGGCGCCGACACGAGCGGTGAAGATGGTTACTGCTCGGACAGCGCCCCCAAGCCCGCCATGGCGGCTCCCAAGCCGAGAACCAAGCTCAAGGCGAACACGCTTCACCAAGCCAAGGCTGCCGCGGCTGCCGCGGCTGCTGCTGCGCAGTCCAAGCCTCGGCCTCAGAAGCCCAAGGTCAAGAAGGAGCCCGCGGCCGTGAAGACGGCAGCCGTCAACGGCGGTACCGCCGCCGCTTTGGGTCCCATGTCCCCGGCCTCGCTCCCGGCTTCACGCAAGCAGTCTGTCGCGTCCAACACCGGGCTTTCTCTTGCTGCCGGGGATGACGAGCACCCCGACTTGTCGACCAAGCCTCGCTGCCAGAGGTGTCGCAAGAGCAAGAAGGGGTGCGACAGGCAGAGGCCTTGCGGTCGGTGCAAGGATGCGGGGCTGGGGGCGGATCAGTGCATCAGCGAGGATGAGGGGAATGGGAGGAAGGGGAGGTATGGGAGGCACATGGGGGTGCCGCTCGTCAAGGAGGAGGTTGCTGCTGCGCCGGTTGCGATGACGACGTTGCCGCCGATGATGGGGGGTGGGTTCGGCGGGGGGGTGACTGGCGGGGCGGAGTACGCCTCGGAGGTTGGAGGGGGGGATAAGGGGAAGAAGAGGAAGAGATGAGTTTTCTGTTGATGGGTCAACCCCGGATTGAAAGGCTTGTATGATGGGATGATGGTCAGTGGGGTGTTGTGAGATGGGGTCGGGATGGTGTGGTCTGCTATACCTTGTCAATGGTCTTGTGGAGTTCTCGTTGGAGACTCACGGGGTTGGTGTCTTTTCCTATGTTGATGGCTACAACCTCTTTTTTTCTTTTTATTAAGCATGTCCGCTATTGGGGAGGATGACTATCTAGGGCCACCCCTTAACCTTCATCTCATTACCGTCTTTGGGTGTTGTTATTGTCTTGTCGGGCCTTGAACATTTTCCGCTCTATCAATCAAAGAGATTCATTTGTTTTTTTTCTAAAAGCGGCTGCGTTTCTTTTTTATGTTGGTGGGAGGTGGGGAGGTGGGTTTGGGTTTGGGTTTGGGTTTGGGTTTGGGTTTTGGGTTTGGGTTTGGGTTGAGTGAGTGGGTGGGAATGGATAAAATAGGTAGGAATGGGTGGTGGATGGTTCGAAAGCTGGAAAAGAGGAAGGGCGAATGGATGGCTCAGGGGTTAAAAGGGGGATTGGGGGGGGGGCGGGGGATTGATTCTGTCTTTTACAAGGTTTAATTGATTTGAAGGGGTGTGGGGGAGGAGTGTATATTATGGCTTTTTCTTTTTTCTTTTTTCTATTTTCCTTTTTTTTTTCTTTCTTTCTTTTCAACTCTGGTATATTTGGAAGGAATGGAGGGGAGGGAGGGAGGGTTATTGCACATCATATCACATCACATCACATCATCACTCATGTCTTTTTAGCGTTTGATTTTTTGTTGTTGGGGGGGGGGGTGGTTTATAGCGAGGTACCTACTGGAAATATTCTGTTTTTGTTGCGTTGGTGTGTGGTTTATGATGTTTTCTCGGTGTCCTTTTTCTGAATGTTGTACATTGCGGCCTGGACTGAAGCTCCGGGGAAGCGTGAGCCAGAATTTTCTTTTCTCTTTTCTTCTTTCTTCCGAATTTCTTACTGTTTGAGGCTTCGTTCTGTGTTGATGTTTTTGTTGTATGGGGTTCTGATGGTGTTGATGGTGTTGATGGTGTTGATGGTGTTGATGGTGTTAATGGTGTTAATGGTGTGTTATTATGCGCCGCGAATACCACCTGTCTGTTTGGTGCTATGGTCATGAACGTATGGAGTAAAAAGTTACCAAGATATTGGATTTGGTGTGGGTTAAGCAGTGAGCGTGGTTTCTACCTATTACAAATTCTAAAACCTTTTTGTAATGGGATCACTGTCGCCCAACAAATGCGAGCTATGTTTTTTGTTCTGTTTCATACAGCTATCATGAAAGAGTGTGTTGTCATCACCATCTGGCAACCCTCGCGATTTTTCTGTTGCGCAACAAAAAAAAAAAAAAAAAAAAAAAAAAAAAGGAAACTTCCCGTGTAAGTGGTGAGATTTGATTGGTCCGGCGCATAGGATTTAGAGTTTAAGCCTGATCGGGGTTGGATTAGCGAGGCTTTTTCAAACGGGCGCTAGGCGGTTTGTAAGCTGGCGCATGTCTTTGTCAATCAGCGTCGCAGCTTATCTCTTGATTGATGACTTTAGTTATTGTAGGGCGCAATATGTCTGGAAGGATTCCTTGTATCTCATACATTGTTAATGTGCGCAAGCAAGTTTGGGTTGAGTGGCTTTGTGCTGGAAGCGGGGAAGATCAATCAGATCCAATGGCGTGGTTCTAAAGTTGCCCCACATTTGGGGGTTCCTTCCCTTTCTGTCGAGAGTTTGGCTGAGATGGGGGCGCTGATTGGTTGAGAGGGTGTTGACATGGGTTTTTTGGACCGGCTTTGGGCGGTTTGTTGTTGGGGTTTGTTGCCACTTGGTCTTGGCTTGGGGAAGGGTTGAAGATCTTTACACTTGGGGAATTTATCTTTTGGATGAACCATCTTGAAGGTGCCAACATGTACATATTCAGTGTTCAACGGACTTTGGATGTGGAAATGAGTTCAATAGCTTATGTTGACTGAGAATCGAAGCTAAATGCGATGCGGATATTCACGTTTGCTTGGGCTGTCACCGGGCCATGAATGGCGGTCTGCCACTCGATGCACCCCCCTGTGACTAAAACCTTCCCGTTCTCCTCCTAATAGCGCGCGCGACGCGGTGGTTGAGTCATCTGACACTTTGACGTTTCTGCGCTGCTGAAATTTAAGCGATTGGTTGGGTTCTGAAAGAATTGTTTTGGTTTCTTGATGATGTTTTGGTCGCACGACTGGAAAGCCTCGTGGCACTGAGACAGTTTTATGTGCGACTTGAGGACTGGGAAAGTTATGACGAGGTTGACAGCAGCGAAGATCGCGATTGTCTGTTCTGTGTTCATATTGACGATGGGGGCGACAAAGCCGATGGAAGGCGACCTTATCTTGGTGGGGCAATTGACGAGATTGGGAGTTGAGATGCTTAACGGCAATTACGATTTGGAGATCCCACTTCAAGCTTGTGTTCCCATTGCTGAAGAAGTCGTGATGGCTGCTTTGTCTTGTCCAAACATGAACAATATCACCGTCTCCCAAATCAGGACCGAAAAAGGCCGCCTCACTTCGGCACCCTCCCGTCTCTCCCGGCCAGTCGGCGACAGCAAGAGTTCCACAGCCGTTATCGGGAGCGGGAGTTGTGCATATCGGATGAGAGCCTCGGCAGCCGGCGCTCCCTACCCGACAGACACCCATCCCGTCCTTGACGGCCCGGGATAGGCCGTCTTTTGATTGTCGCCTGCACAGTGTGCTTGATATGTCATATTTCAGCCACCTACCCAGCCAGCAGCGGCATGTCGATATTGCTTGTTATTCCCGACCGGGTGTTTCCCGCCATTTGCGGGGACAACTGTCGGAGAAGATGTCAAAATCAAGGGCGTAAAGAATCTGCAAGATGACATCTTGACACTCGCCCGCTTGTTTGATGATAGTGACAGTTCTCGATATGGCCGGGAATAAACGACGTTCGACCTACCAAAACCAGGGTAGTCTACCCGGCAAGGATGTGTACGATAAACCCACACTTTTCCCACCCACGACTGGCTTTTTTTTTTCTAGAAAACTTTGGACGGCGGAGTTAAAAAGTCATTGGTGGTTTCCTATCGCCGATGGAATATATCAACGGCTAAACTACTACTACTACTACTACTACTACTACTACTACTACTACCCCTTTCTTGTCGTCATTGTTTTTTGCTGATTCAACTTTTACAACCTACACAGGGTGAGCCAAGCAAATAACACTCATCATGAACGTCGACATCGAAAAGGTCGCCTCGGCCCCATCACCGCCACCACCAGCAGCACCATCATCATCACATCCCAACACCAAAGAAACGAAACTCACAACAGCCCAAGATGCAGACCTATCAGACAGCTCCGACCTCGACTCCCCAACAACAACACCAGACGAAGAAGAAGAAGAAGAAGAAGAAGAAGAAGAATTCATCCCCCCCGACGGCGGTCTAACCGCCTGGTCCCAAGTCCTCGCCGCCTGCCTAATCAACATGCTCGCCTGGGGCTACCCAACCGCCTTTGGCGTCTACCAGCTCCACTACCGCGACACCCTCCGCCTCCCCGAAGCCCAAGTCTCCTGGATCGGCTCCCTCCAAGTCTTCCTCGCCTTTGCCCTCTGCATCTTCTCCGGCCGCCTCGCCGACGCGGGGTACATCAAGTCGACCATCATCGCCGGGACGTTCCTCGTCGTCTTTGGGACCTTTATGACGAGTTTATGTAAAGAGTACTGGCAGATTTTCCTGGCTCAGGGGTTGTGCACGGGGTTGGGGTTGGGGATTATTTTCATGCCGCCGCTGTCGGTGGTGAACAGTTACTTCAAGAGGAAAAAGGCGTTGGCGCTGGCGATTTCGGCTACCGGGACGGGGTTGGGGAGTGTGGTTTTTCCGGCGGTGATTCAGTATTTGATTCCAAAGGTTGGGTTTGCCTGGGCGGTGAGGTGCGCGGGGTTTGTGGCGTTGGGGATTTCGGTTGTGAGTGTGGTGTTGCTGAGGCCGGTGTTGAAGCCGAGGAGGAGCGGGCCGGTGTTTGAGTGGGATGCTTTCAGGGAGGGGCCGTATTTGTTGTTTACGCTGGGGGCGTTTTTGTTTTTTTGGGCGTTGTTTTTCGGGAGCTTCTTTGTGAGTAGTCTGAGGATGGAACGAAATGATAGATGGCTAATGTGGGAACAGATTAATGCGTTTGCGAGGAACATTGTTGGGTTCTCGACGACGGACTCGGTGCAGTTGTTGCTCATCACGAACGGGATGAGTGTTGTCGCGAGGCCTATCACGGGGTATTTGGCTGATAACTATATTGGTCCGATCAACATGCATGCCTTCCAGATGTTTCTGCTGGGGTGTATGTTTTTCTTTTGGCTGGCGGTGGACTCTGCTACGGGGCTTTATGTGTTTGCCATCTTTCTTGGTTTCGCGATGGGAGCGGCCCAGGGTGTGTTTGGTGGTGCGCTTGCCAGTCTCTTGAAGGATCCAAGAAAGATGGGAACGCGGTTCGGCATGGTCTGCACTCTTTGCGCGTTTTCTTCGCTGGCTGGACCACCAACTGCTGGTGCTATCATCGACAGGTCAAATGGGACATATACATGGGCTTGTGTTTGGGCTGGGACGGTGGTGGTGTTGGCTTCGTTCACGATCATGTCCGCGAGGATAGCTGTGACGGGGTTTAAGCTGGCTGTTAAGATTTGAGGGCATATGGAGAGACATGTCAGGAAGCAACTTCTTCCCTGAGACGGCATATTGGGAGGAGAGAAGCTGTCAGCAGCATAATGTTTAGTTGGAATGCCCCATTGACCACACCCTCGGCATGCAGATGTCGTGGGCCGATATCGTCTGCCGTACTGGTGTGAGGGAGGCTATTTTCCGACCAGCTGCCGAACCGACGACGTCGACCTGTTTGTTCCCTTGGGTCCGGATCCGTCGCCCCGCGTCTTCTTACCCGTTGATTTACCCCAGGTTATTCCCCGCCTTACGGGTGCTGGTGTACTGCCGCCCCCACTTAGTTCCGGTTACACTCGACCGGCGACGGCCAGGACATGTGTCTCAAATGTGATATACTAAAACGCCACGCTGTTGGCGTTTAATGTGAGATGTGATGTTTTGTTTCAGTGATAACTGTTGAGAGGGGGTGAAGCCACATATCATCATCCTGCTATCTCACCCTCACCTGTCCCATCTTTCACACACCACACTCACAATGGTCCTCCCATCAAGTGACGGGCCAAAGGAGGTGCCTATACCAGACACAACTACTGAAACAAAAACTCAAGATGAAGGCATCCACGTCGTCATCATCGGCGCCGGCCTAGCAGGTCTAGCAGCAGCCCTCTCCACCAAGCTCGCCAACCCGAACCACCAAGTAACCATCCTCGAAGCCGTCAAAGAGCTCCAAGAAGTCGGCGTACGTGGGTGCCCCTCTATTGACCCCTATTCCATCTCGTCTGCTAACCTGGGGGGGGGGGGGGGGGGGGGGCCTCCAAGTGACCCCAAACGGGGCCCGCGTCCTGTCCCACTGGGGCCGGGGCCCCATCCGCGCCCCCCTCGCCGCAGTGCCCACCTCCCTCTCCGTCCACCGCTACGACGGGACGAAGCTCCTCGCCCACGAACCAAACCTCCAAGAGCGGATGCTGGAACGGTATGGGATTCCCTTTTTGGGATTTACATCGGGTTGATCTGCAGAGGGAGATGGTGAAGAAGTGCTCAGAGCTCGGTATCACCATCAGGCTTAACTCCAGGGTCACGTCGGTTGATTTCGAGACGAACACAGTCCATCTCGGGCTAGTCCAGAACCCGGCCAGGAACACGCTCTCAGGGGATGTGATCCTCCTGACCGACGGCCTCTGGTCGTCAATTCGACCATTCTTTCTAGGCCAACCCTCCCCAGCAATCCTGACAGGCGATCTAGCCTACCGCATCACCCTCCACGCCTCCCACCTGGACCGGTCCCGACGCCGACCTCCTCCGAAAACTCATCACAAACCCCACAGTGCACTTCTGGATCGGCCCCCCACAGCCACTGCGTGGGGTACTCGGTCTCCTCCTCCCAGACCTACAACCTCGTCTTCCTCTGCCCAGACGACATGCCCTCCCACGTCGCCAGATCCGACGCCTCCCTCCGGGAATTCAGATCCAAGTTCTCCGGCTGGGACCCCCTCCTCCAGAAACTCATCTCCCAGATCCAGTCCGTCCAAAAGTGGAAGCTGATGTGGCTCGACCCCCTCCCCAACTGGACCAACCCCCAAGGGACCTTCTTCCTGGCGGGCGACTGCTGCCACCCCATGCTCCCCTACCTAGCCCAAGGCGCCAACTCCTCCCTCGAGGACGGCGCCGTCTTCGGGCACCTCCTCTCCAAGGTCCGAAAATCAACATCTTCCTCCCAGCTCCCCAAGATGGGCAGGCTCTACGAACACCTCCGCATGGAACGCGGCCGGCGCATCCAGCTCGAAACCTTCAACCAAAGAAACGACTCGCACCTCCCCGACGGCCCGGCCCAGCAAGCCAGAGACGAGCTCATGACCAGCCAGCTAAACGACGACGATGTCCGCCCAGGTTTCCCATCCAGATGGACAGACCCCGAGATTCAGGCCTTCTTGTATGGGTATGATGCTTACGAAGAGGCGGAAAGGGCCTACCAGGAGAGCCCTTATTGAGTAACTAGAACAGAGCTGTCAAGCGAAGTAAAAACATAGATACCAAAGTCAAAAGAAAATCGCGACTTGCACGGAAAAGTCCTCTCTATTTCAACACAGTGGACGACTAAATCTCTACAGGGTATCAATACTTTTATTCCCATCTGCCTTTCCATCTAATCAAGCGCTCCCAGCAGCACCGGGAACCTGCCCATCCACCACCCACGGCTCCATATCACTGGTCCTAAGAACAGAAGAAAAGACCGCTTCGACACGGCCCATCGAATAGGCAAACCCTCTGGGCGGCTCGCCCGGTTTGGCATCCTCCATCTCAAGCAAAACAGCGGTCGACAAATGTCTGGGCGCAACACCAGTGCCCGAGTCCATGGGATAGCCACCCCAGTCAATCTCAACCTTTCCCGACTTTCGCACGATGAGCTTGCCCAGATATCCCGCCTGCGGCACCACTGGCTTTTCCTCTTCCTCCTTGCTCTCCTCCTCTGCTACCTCCTCCTCCTTAACCCCGGTAGTCAGATCGACGGAAGCATTGCCCTGTTGCTGACCGTCCAGCGTGACCACCTCGTCGTCGCCCTCAGTCTTGGCGAGCGAGCCGTCATCTTTGACGACGTAAAGCGGTGGTCTGACGGGGAACTGAAAGATAAACGCGCGGTCGTCCAACGGTTCCGAAAAGAGGCGGCGCTGTCTCCGCAGTTCCTCAGCTTTTCCGCTGCTGATTTGGAGCTTCTGGCTCGTATCCACCAACAACATATCTTCGTAGCCGGCTGTGTCGGCTTCCCCATAGCGAGGGGGAATGCTGTCCATATCAACATCCTGGCCACCGCCCTCAGTCTTTACCTTGGCGGCTTGTTTGGCAGCAAGCCTATCCTTCGCAGCCCGCTCCTTGTCATTCACAAAGAGGCCCTCCTCATCGGAATCCTCCTCTTCGCCTGCATTGTCCTCGGTGCTGTCCTCCTGAGACTTTGGCTGCACACGTCGGATACCCATAGGCATAAGGGGCCGGTCTTTGTTGTCGTCATCGTAATCTTGGACGTAGTCGTGCAATAGATCCGCGTTGACTCTGCCGTCACTGCCGAAGAGACCGCCGGCCTCGGTCTTGATGTAATCAGCCCTACCAAAGCGACCACCACCTGAGGAGCCGCCGCCGCCGACTACCAAGGTATCAGCAAATGTGCACGACTAGTTGAGATGCCAGAACAAAAAGCAAAACTCACATGCTCCTCCACCAGCAAGAGGACCGAGTGCAACTGTGCCTCGAGCGCCACCACGGAAACCGCCACCACGGCCACGGCCTCGTACGTTGGCCTTGGCTAAGCGAGCCTTTCGCTTCTCCTCGGCCTCGTCCTTAGCCTTGCTGATTTGGCCGAGTTCGCGGGCAAGTCTCTCACGATCTGCTGAGCTACGACGGACATTCTTTGGTTTGAACTTTGGAGGTACTCTGGTACCAGCGGGTGTCGCAGTTGCTGACCGGCCCCGGGGGGGGGCTGATGTGGACGTCGAAGCTGACGCTGGTGTGTCTGTCTCGGATTTGACCACAGCAGTAGCCGGCTCGGCGGAACCATCGCCGGCGACCGGGGCAGAGGCAGAGCCGCCGCGGGCGGTACCTCCTCTGCCTCGACCACGCCCTCTGAGGGCGGTTTTGGGGGGCATGGCTGCCGGAAGTCACGCGTACTGAGAAGAACGGTCTGGAGTGGTTGCTGGTACTCGGTGTGGTAGGTGCGAGTTGACAAGACAATGAGCAGCTGTCAGTTGAATCGGGTGCGTTGGTTTTTCGCAGGTTGCAAGTGTGAAGATGGGGAAGGGAAGCATGGATGGCATAGGTTCTGAATTCTGACTTTCCCCACCAAACTTTTTTGACCGGGGACGGCTGCATCGCAAGCACGCCAAGGTGGGGGACGATACAGGCTCCCCTGTCTGAGCGCGGGGCAGGGGCCGTTCCTGGGCGGCGATAAACAGATAAGGGTCATCTGAGAGTGGCTCATGGCCAACCCTCCTCTTGGCACCCCATCCACCCTACACTACATGAGACAGATACGATACGGTCAGCTCCGATCAAGGAAGAAAGAGAGATCTTGACCATTCATCATCATGACAATGGGGTGACAACAAAATGAACTCACCATTTCCCAAATCTACGTCCGTTCCGGGGCAGGGCCACCTCGTCGCAAAGCTCCTACCCGAGGGCATCTCCGGCCTCGAGACCTTCACCTACCAGTACCCTCTCAAACTCATCTCACCTTCACGACCGTCCGAAGATGAGAGCGTGCTGGTCTTCCTACTCTCCTACGGCGGCGGACTGGTGGCTGGCGACAAGGTCAATCTTAAGGTCGACGTGCGAGCCAAGGCCAAGCTGACCATCGTCACACAAGGCCACACCAAGGTGTTCACGTCCACCTCCCCCGACATCGTCACGCGACAGGACATGCATGTCCACATTGCGTCCGAAGGCGCACTCTGCCTCTTGCCCGATCCGGTGCAGCCATTCGCAGGGAGTGTGTATGAGCAAACACAGATATTTCGGCTTGAGGAGGACGCCTCGATATGTCTTCTCGACTGGGTCACGCGGGGTCGCACTGCGCGAGGAGAGAACTGGAGTTTTGTGCGATGGGTTGGGCGCAATGAGATATGGGTTATCCCTGCTGCTCAGGAAGACGGAAAGACGGATTCGAGAGAAAGGTTGCTTGTCAGAGATGCCGTGATCCTGGACAGCAACAGGTCTCACCCGGAACTGGCCAAGCTCCGAGACTCGATGCACGGCGTGGGTATCGTGGGGACACTGCTGCTCAGGGGGCCGCTGATGAAGTCGCTGGGAGACTTCTTCCTGGCCGAGTTCGCTGCTCTCCCGAGACTTGGGGCTCGTGATTTCCGAAGCGATGCTGCTAAGCAGGCAGCAGCGTTAGCTCAGGCAACTCCGCGAGAAAAATGGAGGGCCGAGAGACTCGTGATGGAAAATAACAGCAAGCTGTTGTGGTCGGCCGCCAACGTACGGGGTTGTGTGGTGGTCAAGTTCGGAGCCCCTGAGGTGGAAGACGGACGGCTGTGGATTGGATCCATGCTGCAGGAAGAGGGAAGCATCTCGCACCACTTTGGAGACCATGCCCTTATGTGTGTACGATGATACCCTTGTAGACCTTCATTACCCTTGCAGACTTTCATGATGAATGCCGAGAGAGAATACATATTCAGCAACTGAATGTGAAATGAATGCTTTGCGTCACAAGCAGCCAGCTGCATGCATGGTTGATGTCTCAACAATAGGCCCCCGGTAGGTGCATATGGCTGCTGATTGCAGCTGGAGGTGGTCAGTGCACAGAGCCGTGTTGGTGGGGGGAAGCGGTTCAATCCGCCCAAAATAATCTGGGTGATCGCACCGGCACCGACCTTTCCCAGCTTCTGAAGACGCGTCAATTGCCCCCAAATCGCAGCCAGTTTCTGTGTTTGGGACAGCCCTGTTATACTCTTTACCAACCCGACAAATGTGATGTTATCCGGACGACAGCCCCTCATGGAAACATCAGACAACAACGCGACGACGGGCTCTCCAGCTCCCACCTCTTCGGCGCGCCGCTCGGGACGCGTCTCCAAAGCGCCTAACAAGTTCACCCCCGATGCGCCCGTCGCCAGCAAGCGCAAGCGCAACTCGGATAACGATGATGAAGATGACGACGACGACCGGGACAATGATGACGCCGAGAACGAGGCCCCCGACGATGAAGAGGACAACAACAATGCGAGCGACGACGATGATGATGGCTCCGAGACAGCCGCCGAAGAACCACGCCGCGCAAAGAAGAAAAAGAAGACGCCTTCTTCGTCGTCGGCGAAACCGAGAAAGCCAGCGACCAAGAAGCCAAAGACCAATGGTGACGCGCCCGGTCATGACCAAATAGTAGGCCATCTGCCTAGCAGGCCAAAGAAGGCGGTTCGGCTCGCCATCACGCGTCCGACTGATGTTGGGTTATATGGTGCGTGCGGCAGAATTGTGGTGGGGGCGGCTGTTTGTCGCGCTGCTGAAACATGTAAACTGACCGGAATTACAGCCGACATTTTTGCTTCGGGCGACTCCTCGGACAAGGTTGCGACAGAGTGGTACCACAAATACCAAGCCGACGATGCGGCTGCCGTGACGGAGCTGGTAAACTGCATTTTGCTGTCGGCCGGGTGTGACCAGCAGGTCACGCCCGACGACATCCGAGATCCCGAAAACTGCTCCAACAGACTGGCGGATCTGCAGAACGTCTACACCGAGGAGGGCATCACGGACTACCCCTTGGTTGCAAAGTCCAAAACGACCCGGTCTTTCCGCGATCTCTTGGTCGGCTTCTTCAAATCACTGCTGACGGTCCTGCACGAGACCGACATGCTCTACAAAGACACTGCCTTGATGGAAAATATTGCTAGATGGGTGGCTTCCATGTCTTCGTCCACGCTTCGGCCCTTCAGACACACGGCCACCACCGTTGCCCTTGCTATGGAGGCTGGCTTGGTCGAGATTGCCAAGAAGCTGGATGACCGCGTCAGCAAGATGACGCAGCAGCTTGATGCCGAGAAGAAGCGCAAGGGCAAGAACAGGGAGCGTCTTGCTGTGATTGAGAAGAACCTGAAGGAGGCTGAAGAGAACCAGTCCATCTGCCAGGCGCAGATCCTGGATTTCTTCGACACTGTGTTTCTCCAGCGGTATCGCGATGTTGACGCCAGGATTCGCTGCGAGTGTGTCGAGGCTCTTGGTGGCTGGATCTGGAACCTGCCCACACAGTTTGAGACGCCAGAGTATTTGCGGTACCTGGGTTGGATGTTGACCGACGCGATGCCGCAAACACGACTGGAGTCTCTCAAGCAGGTCACCCGGCTGTTTAAACGGGATGCTGAGAAGCTCGGTCACTTCATTGACCGGTTCAGACCACGGCTGGTCGAGATGGCCATCAAGGACGCCGATGTAGGCGTCCGGGTGGCTGCTATTCACGCCATCCACATTCTCAAGGACACTGGCATGTTGGAGCCAGACGAGATTGACTCGATTGGCCGGTTGATTTTCGACTCGGAGCTGCGTGTCCGGAGAGCGGTCATCGACTTCTTTGCCGGTTGCGTTGACGATTCGATTGAAGGCAAAGTGGAAGAGATGGGCGGCAGCGATGTTATTGATGAGGTTCTGGGCGAGGAAGACGATGACGACTACTCCTCTCCTCGTCGGGACTGGATCAGCGTCAAGTGTCTCGCTGAGCTTCTTGCCGCATATGACGCCCAGCTGGAGGAGGAGGCCAGCACCGCTCCGCCCCGCGGTCTTGACATTGCCGTCGGGATGGTCCAGGCTGTCGCGCCGGAGACGAGGATATCTCTCGCCTCGCAGGTCTTGTACGAGAAGATTGACCAGGTGAAGAACTGGGAGATCCTGTCCGGCTATCTCCTTCACGACCACACCACCAGCACAAAATCAAAGTCCAGGTCCAAGGCGTCCAGGAGCAACTCTAATGAGGCCGCCTTCAAGGCAGCCGTGGCGCCCGAGGGCAACGAGGAGGCCATCATTCTCGAGATTCTTGCTTCGGCCGTCAAGCTTGGTCTGTCGCCCAACACGGAGGACGGACATAGGAGGAAAGCCCGGACGGATGCGGCCGATACGGCGGAGGAATCGGCGATACACCTGGCGACCAACATTCCCCGCCTGCTGAACAAGTTTGGTGCGGACGAGAAGACAGCTGTGATGGTGCTACGGCTGGAGCACTCGCTTCCGCTGGACATTTTCCAGCAGCTGCGTCAAGACTCCACCACGTTCAGTCGTTTGTTGGACGAGATTTGCACCCAGTTTGACCGCCACGTCGACCGCGGCGTCTTGGCCGAGGCGACGGCTGCGCTGCTGCATGCTCGCAAGCATGACGAGCTGCAGGAGATCACCGACAGCAAGATTGCTGACCTGTGGGAGATTGTCATCAACGCTCTCCGGCACTTTGATAAGAACAATGAGCTTTCCGTGCGGGGCAACATGGATCCGGCGACGATCACGGGGTTGGGCAATATCCTGCTCAAGATGTCGAAACTGGCGTCGATAGCGAACCCGACCGAGTTTCTTGAGGGGGGGGACCAGCCCGCCATCGAGCTCCTGATCAAGATCGTCCACCGCGGCAAGCTGGACGTTGTTGACGAGGCGCTGGATGATTTGGAGGACGAGGCTGTGTCGTCTGCCGTGTCGTCTGTTCAGTTCTACTTTTTGTGGAAAGTGAGGGCGCTGATTGGGAGTGTGCAGTCACGGGCTGATATCCCGAGGGATGACATTCTGACGCTTAACTCGCTCAGGCAGGACTATTCACGGAATCTGATCTGGACGTTGTCGTCGAGGGGGACTAACGATGAGCTGAGGTTGTTTTCCACTGGGGGGTTGTGCGACCTGCATATCTGCTTTGCGACGCTGAGAACGGCGGTTGGGCAGCAGGGCAATCAGGGGGCGGCGTCTCCGAAATCGTACAGTGACCTTGATGTCTTGCTTGAGCCGATCAGGGCTGACTTGATCACGGAGCTGATTGAGATTTTTGATGCGGCGGAGAGGGCCTATGCGAAGTGTTTGAGGCGGAGGTTGAACGAGCCGGCGGAGGATGAGGAGCCGGTGGAGGAGGAGCTGTCGGATGACGAGGGGGTGGAGGGGGAGGAGGATATGACGCCTGTGGAGAGGAGGGGGAAGGAGTTGAGGTTGGAGAGGGCGCTTTGCGAGCTGGCGGGGAAGTATGTGCTTTGTATCCTGGCCAAGATGCTTGATCAGGGGGGACGGTTGAGGAAGAGGATGTTGAGGAATCAGAGTAAGCTTGGGGGGAATTTGAAGGAGGTGGTGGCGTATTTGGATGAGGGCCGGTTGAGGGAGAGGGTGGAGAGGTATACGAATAAGGGGAGGAAGGTTGCGAAGGGGGTCAGGAAGGGGGGGGCGGCTGCTGCTGCTGCTGCTGCTAATAAGGGTGGGAGCGGGAGTGGTGGGGGGCATCAAGGGGGGAAGAAGTTGAGTGAGGAGATTGTGGTTGATGGGGAGGATGACAGCGAGTTGTCCGAGGTGGAGTTGGAACTGGAGGAGGATCCGATTGAGGAGGAGGCGGAGGAAGGGGGGGAGGAGGATTTGAGGAGGCGTGGGTTGGCGGAGGAGGAGGTTATTGATGAGGGGGGGGAGGAAGGGGAAGGGGAGAGGATGGAGGAGGATAGTGTGATAGGGGATTGAATAGGGTTCTGGTAACAGGTTTTGAGATGCAAAGGGTAGATAGTTACTTGTTTGCTTGTGGGCGGACATAATGATACGGAACTGGGCAAGGGAATCAACTGGGAATGGGGGGGCGGTTGGGAATTGCGCCTTTGTCTTCTTCTCAAGTCGTTAGATTACCTATGTATTTTTTATTTTTTTTTGCTTTTTCGTTGTTGTTGTTGTTGTTGTTGTTATTGATTCATTTTTTTTATCTGCATTCTCTTGCTGTACGCAGAACAAAAGGGGGGCGGTTGTTTTATGGCATGCTTATAATCAGGCTCATTGATGTTATCAAAGCATGGAGTAGGAGTAGTGGAAGTTTTTTCTGTTCGTATATCCAGTCGCTCAGCTTGGTGCTGTAGGTATGGGCTGACTGACTTGTTCTCCTTCAATCAAATTCCTTGGGTCTATTTTTGCTGGTGATAGGTATCAATGGAGATTCCAACTTTGCAACGTGAGGACTGTAGTTCGTGTCGATATGGTATCGAGACGGCTGCTACCTACAGTAGAAGCCCGTTCCTTTCATTTCCTCATTCTCTTATTTCCCTTTGTACCATCATTTACTGACTTTCGGGATAAGATAAAATGTTAAGCTTTTGCTCTTTTTGACTATGTATTCAACCAACGACTTTGCATCCCCATTCTTTCTATCCTCCTTCCTGATCGAGTCCCTGACAACCATCGCAACTATATAAACCTATGCCAACACCAACAAAACAAGAAGATAATCGACACCAGTCGCTTAAAATGAAACACGACTTATATATATATATATCCACATGTACAGAGACTGAAAGTGATAGCTATTTAAATAAGCTTAAAACATGCAATGTCATATGCCCTAATTAATGTTCCTCCTTCTCCTCAGCATATGCTCCCTCACATGTTGGGCTTCCCTTCCTGCCTGCTTGTCCCAAAACGCCTTGCCAGAACAGCCAAAGTAGAAAGGCAGATGATTCATCCCCCCCCCCCTGAAACGAAAAAGGATGTCGTTAATCATGAGACAAGAAAAGAAAACCGCATAGACATAGACCTCCTCCCCGAAAAACTAGTCACACATCCTTGATCCGCACCCCATCCATGGCAAACACACGCATCCACTCATCCTTCTTCCCAGTCCTGACGCCGTACTGCTTGATAGGGCACGTGAAGGGCTTGCTGACCAGCCTTATCTCATTCGACCTCGAGCTGCTCTCTTTTCCACGACCACTAACCTCCTCCTTCTCTTCGTCACTATCCAGATCGTGCATCTGCGTACGGTTCCCATTGCTACCCCTAGAGCCTGGCCTGGAATTGACCTCCTGTTTGGAAGCCTGCTGTTTCTCGCCATTAGCAGCCTTGACCTCCTCCAAGTTACCCCACAATATGTGCATGATATCTTGGAGCTGGTACCGGCACTTCCTGTTCTTCCGGAGGTCGTCTGCATCCAAATTGGTGAGACACTGACCTGCACCATTGTTGACCGCCACCCACACCCGCGCAGGCGATGATCCATCCGCCGGCAGTGCATCTTCAAGCAACAGTGAGAACCGCCACTCCCAAGCACGCTTCACGGTGGGGTCGTTATCGCCACCGGAAGATTCGTCCTCGTCGAGGGACGATCCGTCACTGTTTTCGCTGTCTGAGAGATCTTGGTACTGGGTGATCTTGCGGCTGACGGCAAAGTCTTCTATGCAGGAAGGCGAGAAGTCGACAACGCGGACAAAGGTCAGGTATTTCTTGTTCACGAATGGGACTTGAACCTCGACAGTGTCTGCATCGATCTTGATTTTCATAAAGCTCGGCTCGAGCATGCTCTCGATGGTTGTCAGGCCGGCATTGCTTTTCTCGCAGATTATCTGCCGATTTCCGGCAAGAGTGACATCTTGGGTCGGATTTTGCTTTGGCGGGTCACTCTTCGTGCTCAGGGCAACAGGCGCGGCAGAGACTACGTTTTGGCGAGCTTTTTCCTCCTTCTTCGCTCTGTTCTCCGCCCGACGCTGCTTCGCGTTCAGAGCCGGCTGGTCCTCGATGGCCTGCACCTCTGAAGCTTTCCGCTTCTGACCTGCAACCTGAGCAGACTTGATGTCCTTGATCACCTTCTTCTTCTCCTTGTCCGCAGCCTGCTGACGGCGCAAGGCTGCTGTGAGGCGATCGTCCATGTTCTCGCGATCGTCCAGGTTGAGAGGGTAGACGTTGATTCTGTTTGGATATGTCCGATCTTCCCGCACAAAACCCTCCAAATACTTGTAATCATGACCAAGTCTTATCTGCACATTCTTGAGTCCGATCCAGGAGCCAAGCTTGACATCCTCCTGCAGGGCGCGGGAATGAGGCTCCCAGCAGGTGACCTGAAGAGACTTTTTCCCCTCCGGGGCGATCCATCTCTCCGCTACTGGCGCGGGCTCCTCCGAGGTATAACCATATACATCGCCGTCTTGAGATGCATCGAGGTTCTCGAGAATGTGGTCATGGAAGGCCGGGTTCTCGGTGTAGTCTGACACATAGAGTGTTGCCTTATTGTCAAAGTCAAAATGTGGTGCTCGCACAACTCGGACGATCAGGTCGTAGAACCTCTCTGCCTGCACATCTTGGAGCAGACTGAACTTGTCCTTGACGTTGGCAGATTGCCGGGCTGCCTGCCGAAACACCTCCTCTGAGGGGGCGTTGGTCTTGTCCAGTTTGTGGTAAAAGGCTGCGACATAGTGGTGGATTTCCTCGGTCAGTTCCGGGCGTTCGTCCTTTTTGGTGCACGGTCTCAAAGCCACAGAGGCGGATTCTGGAGGCCTGGGGATCTTTGAGGACTCGTATACCCTGATGGTGGTCTGATGATTGGTGATGAAGGACATGTTCCCGCCATATCTCTGGACCTTGACCCTATGAAGCACGACAACATCCTGGTAGGCAATTTGGGGAATGTCGGTTTCACGAGGTCGGAAGATGTTGAGCTTGACGCCATAGCATTCATCTTCCACGGACCAATCCATGAGGGACCATGTGGTTTTCCAATCTTGGGTTGTTGGTAAGCCTGGGTGCAAAAGGAAGAAGAAGCACAGGAAGCAGGGCAAACATACCTTTGCTGGTTTTGAACAGGGCCTGGGTGTCAATGATGGAGCCTATGACATTGACCATTTGTCCAGGCACGAACTTTTGGTCCAGTACATCCCTCAACCGGACAAACCCTTGGGGAAGATCTCCCTCTTCCTGCTGGGAAGTCATGGTTGACTGTACTGAGCAAAGGAACTCCTAGGTCAAATATGGACAACGGTGGGGGAGATACACTCAACGCGTCTTGAAAGCCGCGGGGCGCGTCTGGTCTACACTATCTAATCAAAGCACTTCCACCTGCTCACCAACCCATCGCGGGAGCATGTGCTGTGGCCCGTGCCCTCCTTTTGTCTTGGCCCATTTTGGCCATGGAGGGGTAGTTTGGTTGTGGCCTCAGGCAGCCACAGCCACAGCCATAGCCACAAGGCAGCGCTGGCTGACTCGAAAGGTGTGGTGGGAGGGTGGGGCACAACTAGGCCAAAACTGATCCATGCGCTGCGGGGCGGGGCGGGCGCCAGGCCAGAGAAAGCCCAGAGCAAGACCCTACCTATTTTCAAAGTCTCTTCACTCCAACTTCTTTCATCACCCAACGAAAAACTTTTCCCCATCGTGCATTCCACCATCATCACTTGGGCCTGCGAAAGCCTGACTCTATCAAAGTTCACTGTCTACCCGACATCCCCCGCCGTCTGGTCTGGTCCATCGTTCTATCTATCTATCTATCGACTGGCTCACCTCAAACTGCCTGCCATACCCACCACGGCCCATCTCCCATCGGCGAAACTGACATCATGTCTGAACGTTACATCCCCGAGCATCGCAGAACTCAGTTCAAGGCGAAGAACACATTCAAGCCCGAGGAGCTTCGTCGCCGCCGTGAGGAGCAGCAGGTTGAGATCCGCAAGGCGAAGCGCGAGGAGAACTTGGCCAAGCGCCGTGGCATTGGCACTGGTGCAGACCGTCCTGGGGCGTCTCTCGGTGCTGCCCCCGACAGTGACGATGAGAACCCTCCCAGCGAGTCTCAGGTATGTTTACGACGGTATTCCATGCGAGGCGCTGTTGCTTCCCGCTGCATCGCGTCCTCTGCCCTACCCCAAGGTGTCGATTTTGCGCTCCAGCATCATCCTCTCATTTCCACCCCACTTGTACCCCGCTGCGTGTTGCGGTTGCTGCTGGACCGACTGGGGCCGCATTCGGCAGCAAACCTCGCTGCAGACAAAATGCTGACGGAAAATGTGCGCAGCTCAACGAGGACCTCCCTCAGATGGTGGCTGGCGTCTTCTCGGAACAGATTGACGCTCAGATCCAGGCCACCACCAAGTTCCGCAAACTGCTCAGCAAGGAGCGCAACCCCCCAATCGAAGAGGTCATCAAGACTGGCGTTGTGAGCCGCTTCGTCGAGTTCCTCCGCTCTCCCCACACTCTTGTCCAGTTCGAGGCCGCCTGGGCTCTTACCAATATTGCCTCGGGCTCTGCTGCGCAGACCCAGGTTGTTATCGAGGCCGGTGCCGTTCCCATCTTCGTCGAGCTCCTGGGCAGTCCCGAACCCGATGTCCGCGAGCAGGCCGTGTGGGCTTTGGGCAACATTGCCGGTGATAGTCCCAGCTGCCGTGATTTCGTCCTGGCCCAGGGTGCCCTCCGTCCTCTCCTTGCTCTTCTCGGTGACAGCCGCAAGCTTTCCATGCTCAGAAATGCCACCTGGACCTTGAGCAACTTTTGCCGCGGCAAGGCTCCCCAGCCCGACTGGGCTACCGTATGTTGTCCCTTGTTCTTCGTGTCGCACGATGCTGATGTTCTTTTTGCTCTAGATTGCCCCCGCCCTTCCAGTTCTCGCCAAGCTGGTCTATTCTCTGGATGACGAGGTCTTGATCGACGCGTGCTGGGCTATCTCTTATCTCTCCGACGGTGCCAATGACAAGATCCAAGCCGTCATTGAGGCTGGCATCCCCCGCCGTCTTGTGGAGCTCCTCATGCACGCCTCGACCTCTGTTCAGACCCCAGCACTTCGCTCCGTCGGCAACATAGTCACCGGCGACGACGTTCAGACCCAGGTCATCATCAACTGCGGCGCTTTGCCCTGCCTTTTGTCTCTGTTGAGCTCCAACAAGGACGGCATTCGCAAGGAGGCCTGCTGGACCATCTCCAACATCACGGCCGGCAACTCGGCTCAGATCCAGTCGGTTATTGACGCCAACATCATTCCTCCTTTGATTCATCTGCTCTCCAACGGCGATCTCAAGACGCGTAAGGAGGCCTGCTGGGCAATCAGCAACGCCACGTCGGGTGGTCTGCAGAAGCCCGAGCAGATCCGCTACTTGGTTCAACAAGGCTGCATCAAGCCCCTCTGCGATCTCCTCGCCTGCCCGGATAACAAAATCATCCAGGTCGCCCTCGATGGTTTGGAGAACATCCTCAAGGTCGGTGATCTTGACAAGCAGGCTGCCGGCGACGGACCCGAGTCGATCAACAGATTTGCTCTGTTTATCGAGGAGTGCGGCGGTATGGAAAAGATCCACGACTGCCAGACCAACGCCAACGAGGAGATTTACATGAAGGCGTACAACATCATCGAGAAGTACTTCTCGGACGAGGAAGAGAACGCGGATGAGTCTATGGGCCAGCCTCAGCAGTTTGGCTTCGGTGCGAACGGTGCCCAGCAGGGCGGCCAGGGCGGCTTTAACTTCGGCGCCAATGGCACCGAGTCGATGGATATGTAAAGAGCCTTGGCGCTGCAAGACAGCACTTGCTCGAAGACGGTTTCTTGGGTTGGGGTCCTTGCAGAGGAAGGTCCTGGCACGGCCTAGAAGACTGGTCGATCCCATAGCTCCCAGACTTACCACTCGACGCCGACCATTCCGCAGTCACAACACCACCAATAACACATTACCCAATATCCCCCACCCAAACACACACACAACACCTCACCCGGGCGTTATCTTAATTTTGTTTTCAGCGGCAACCGGCGAGACGACGGAGAGCACGACTAGCAGTGATGCATGATTGGAGGGGGGTGGTTGAAAGTATGAGGAGAGAAGGTGAAAAGAAATAAAAGGGTTTGAAAGGTAGATGGATAGGTAATTAGTTTAGGGAGAAGAAAGGAAGGAGGGTGAGGACAGGGGGGCTGAGGAGGTTGTGGAAGAGGAGGAGGAGGAGGAGGAGGAGGAGGAGGAGGAGGAGGAGGAGGAGGAGGACCGGGCCTGGGGTGGGAGCACACATGGTCTGGGAGGCTTTATAACGGATATACCCAGCCCTTTTGGACGGCCATTGCTAGTGCATGGACCGCAGCGATTGGGGAAATGTCTGGCTTTTTGTGTCAATGAGCAGGGTGGAAGGGGAAGAAAAAAGGGGGAGGGTGTATCATGCTTCTTTTGGCTAGGGTAGCAAGGATTATCACACATCAAGTGATGTGGTTGATCTGGTAGAAAGCTATTTTGTGCCTGAGAGGAGGAATAGTGATGCATCTCTTTTTCTCTTTTTTTCTTTCTTTTTCTTTGTTGTTTCTCATTGACGAAGCGAGGCTTGCGGGACTCGAGTGGGCTAGTTATTAGTTCTAGTTTTTCTCTGTGTTGTGTAGGTTTCGGGACAAATGAAATGCTAGATTTGTATTGTTGTATGATGTGGTGACCATCTGCCAATGAAATGTGAGGAATGTGATGTAAGGATGGATGGATGGATGGCGGGGTATCATTCCGTTTGCGTTTGAATGTCTGGCTGCGGCTGAGTGCGGGGGGGAGACGTAGATCAGATCATGTCTGACGACGGTTGATTTGTTGTCGGCGGGTTTTGTTCAGCAACTCAACATGAGAGTTTTTGTGCTTGTTTGGTTGTTGTGTCTGTGTGAGGTTGAAGGGAGAAAGGGGTGGAAGGGGCCTTGGGAGAGGTATATACGCGCGCCCGAGGACAAGAGGAGGATTGTGCCGAGGGGGATATGGAAGACCGAAGGGGATGTTGATATTGTCGTTGAGGAGGGGACGGTGAGGATCGGGGAGGGGGGGTGGGTGAGCTGGGAGTTTGGGGAGAACATCTCTGGGAGGGTCTGTCTTGTCGTTGAGAGTGTCGAGGGGGGGTTGGAGGAGGTCAGTCTGGCGTACTCGGAGTCGTATCTCTTTGCCGGACCGGTGCCGGACGCGACGACTGACAGGCGGATGAGGGACCTGCCTCTGCGGTTGGGGGTGGAGGGACCGGGGGAGGTTTGTGTTGGGAAGGAGTTTGTGAGGGGGGCGTTTGGGTATTTTACTCTGCATGTCCCCAAGGATGGGGACGGGGATGGGGATGGGGGCCAAGGATGGTTTTGGGGGGTGGGGATGGGGGGGAGGATCTCGGGCTTGGGGAGGAAGAAGAAACGCATTGCCATCTCGGAGGTCCGGGTGAGCTGCTCCTCGTTTCCGTCTCAGGGCGACAACGGAAGGGAGGCGTACACGGGGTACTTTTCTTCTTCAAGTGACCTGCTGAACAAGATCTGGTACGCGGGGGCGTACACGCTCCAGCTCGGCAGCATCGACCCGAGAGAAGGGGGCGCGCTGATCGACTACAACCGTGTTGTTGACCACAACCGCTCGCCTGCCGGGTCGTGGTACAGCAATTTCACCATCTCGGAGGGGGAGTCGGTCACCACTGATGGGGCGAAGAGGGATAGGATGGTTTGGCCGGGGGACATGTTTATTGCCATACCTTCCATTGCGGTGTCGACTTCCGATTGGGTCAGCGTCAAGAACGCGCTTCGGGTGATTTTCAAAAATCAGTATTTCGACGGGCGACTGCCGTATGCGGGGCCGCCGATGGGGGTTACGGAGAATAGGGAGTTCAGCGACACGTATCATCTGCACAGTTTGCTTGGGGTGTTTGGGTATGTTTTGTGGTCGGGGGATCTGGGGTGGCTGGGTGAGATCTGGGGACGGTACCTCTTTGCGCTGCACCACTCCATCTCGATTGTGGATGACATGGGGCTTGTCCACGTCACGAGCACGGCGGACTGGTTGAGGCCGGGGATGACGGGGCACAACCTTGAGGCTTCGGCGCTCCTGCACACCGTCCTCTCCCGCTCAGCCACCCTGGCCAGTTGGCTAGGTCGTGACGTCCCCCCTCTCTGGGCAGCCACCCAGACAAGGCTTGAGACCGGCCTCAGCAGGCTGTACTGTCCCGAGACGGGCCTGTTTTCAGACAACATCGGCCAGAGGAGCTGCTACCCCGAAAAGGGACAGCCGTACAGCCCCGTCCTCCCCCAGGATGGGAACTCCTGGTTGTTGATCTCGGGCGCGAACCTCGCTCCCTCGGGGTTGCCCTTCCGGTCACCCAAATCACCCTCTCGAGCACCCTCCCCGTTGCCACACGGCCCCCCTACCAGACGGCAGATCTCGCAGAAGTTGAGAAGGAGGTGGCTAAAACATGGGGCGCCGTGTCCAGAGTTTCCAAACACCATCAGTCCTTTTGCCAGTGGGTTTGAACTGCTGGGGCATGTCCACTCTGGGGAGGTGGACACGGCGGTGGAGCTGATGTTGTTGGAATGGGGCCATCTGGTCAATGGGGATGGGTTTAATAATGGGAGCACGCTTGCGGAGGGGTTCAGGATTGATGGGGATGTTCAGTATCCTGCTTACCCTTCCCGGGCGAGGAACTCTCTCGCGCATGGGTGGGCGAGCGGGCCGACGTGGGTGTTGAGTGAGTGGGTTTTGGGGATTGAGGTCAAGACCCCTGGGGGTGGGGAGTGGGAGGTTAAGGGGACGCTGACGAAGTGGTTGGGGTGGGTGAGGGGGGGTGTGACGCTGGGAAACGGGGGGAGGGTTGAAGTGAAGGTTTGGAGGGTCGTGAGTCAGGATGAGAAGGGAGTGGTTTGCGAGGTTAGGGCCGAGGGGGACACGAAAGGTGTGGTGGCGGGGATGAAGATCAAGGGTGGGGAGAGGGTGGTGGTTTTGGTCAGGGAGGGGGACAAGGGGGAAGGGATTGATTTGGGAGAGGTGAAGGTGGTGGGTGTTGAAGAAGACGAGTGGTACAGGAATACCGTGGTGGGATGTGGAGGGGAGGAGTGGGTGTTTGATGAGGACTGGAAAGAACCGAAGATGGAAGAGAGGGAGCAGGGGGTTGTGGATTGGGAGGTGATGGAGGAGAACTTCAGGACGGAGGTTTGGGAGGGGTGGGAGGCACATGTTGGGTGGGTAAAGGAGGCGAGTGATCTGTAGGTGAGAGGAGGTCGGTAGATAATTGTTGTGATGAGACTACTGGAATTGCAAACAATTAATAATAAGAAAAAGCAAAAGCTCACTGGCCAAACCACCCTCTCGGTAGAAGGTGGTTGCTCCCACTCCCACTCCTGCTCCTGCTCCCACTCCTGCTCCTGCTCCCACTCCTGCTCCTGCTCCTGCTTCTGCTCCTGCTCCTGCTCCTGCTCCTGCTCCTGCTCACGACACATTTCTTGATGTTGAACATGCCCGATGCTTTTTGATCAACATATGCTATTTACTTGTTTCTTTTTCCCAATCACACCCACCATCATTTTCCATCATCACCATCTCAATTTACACCTCACCATCAATACCCTCTCCCGTCCGCTCAGGCAAGTCCATCAATCTCACAAGCCCAACCCCCAACCCCATGATCAGACTCAACACTCCCCCTCCCAACCCAACCCACCACGCCTGGCCGTGTTCATACCCAGGAACCTGGAACATCTCTTCATACTCCTTCAGCTCAGAAACCATCGCCACCGCTCCAAGTTCCATCGTCCCGGCAATCATCATCAAAACAGCCATGATTCTCGTGCCGTGCTTTCTGGGCATGCGGTAGGAGTGGGGCTCGTGGGCGTTGCCGAGGAGGAGGAGAGCTGCGACGACGAGGGAGACGAGGCTGAGGCCTACGGATATGTTGACCAGGAAGCCGGCAGAGCGCCATTTGGTGCAGAATGGTGGGGTGGGAGGCTTGCCACGGGGGTGGAGAGGGATATGGGATACGGGGGTGGTGAGGGAGGAGCAGAACCGGGTAGAGGGGAAGGGGACGCAGGCAGAAAGGGAGCAGCGGGTGAAGAGGCCGATGTGGTCGTAGACTCTGGGGTGGGAGAGTTGGTAGACTATCCAGGTTGGGGAGGTGAGGGAGATGAGGGCTGAGAAGGTTGCTATGGAGGAGGGTTAGCAGTAATCAGCTGCTCAAAAGGGGGAGGGGGTCGGTCGTATGGATAGAAGATATGATAGGGGAGACTCACAGGTCACCGACCCAACCACCACTCCCATGTAACTCGCTGTTTGGGACGACATTTTTGCTCCCTCGTCTTGTCGTCTCAGATTCCGCAAGTTCAAGCAAAAGCAAAGCTCATGGTGAAACTGCTCGACAAATTCCAGACTCACAACAGGGGGGAAAAATGAGCAACAGATTCTGATGCTTCACTCACTCGCTTCATGGTGGTTCAAACGGCTGCCTACCACGACACGCAAGTCATGCTAGCGCCGACCCCCTCTCGTGACACCGGGGGCAAGAGTTTCCAATGCTATTGTTTAAGGTACCCCTTTGATTTGTGATAGCCTCAAAGCCAACTCAAAATAAAACGACGACTAAGTAGGTAGCATCGAGATGTGGTACCAGATCCAATGTTGGACACGAACGACGAACAGTACCCAATCCAAACAAGACAGTCTCGACGATGAGTTCTTCGCCACCTGAATTATCAAAAAGGCTCCCGGGTACCCAAACACTTCACACCTCCTGCCGTCCACTTGAAGCGCGGCAAGTTTCCGACATCGAGATTCACGATGATGATGGCTTGTGGTGTTTGCAGACAGACAAGCACAGACCAGCCCCACGTCACAAAGTCTAGACCCAATCCGGCGTCGATAGGGCTGGCCAATCAGCTTCGCCGTCCTCCCCGTCCCCCTTCCCCTCCTCCAGGCAACTTTACAGTCTCACTTGCATCGACGACATTTTGTCTTTCCCAACGATATATGCATATGTTGACTCTAAAATTACCTCTTCTTCACATACCCGTAAGTAACACTCGCTTCTTACCTTTCCAAAACACCGGTGGTAGTCACCCCCCCCCCCCTCCCCGATCAGATCATGAAGCTCTCTGATGATGAGTTTCACTGCTCTTGAAACAAAGGATTAGGTTTGTTTCAGAGATCTGATGTGGCATGTGAAATGCCATCTACCGAAGGGGCCTCTGGGCAGGTCCGACAAGTGGTCCGAGAGAAAGGGAACCTCCGACGTTCCGTTAGCGAAGGCTGATTTTATCAAGTGAGATGCTAGAGGGAGTCTCCGAGTCCGTGCCGCTTGTACGCATGCATGGGAAAGAAACGCTACAGCCGAGCAAACGTGGGAAGACCAGGTGGTGTGTTTGATGAATCTGAAAAAGAAGTTGGGTGTCACACCAGACAGGTGGCTAAAGGAGTGCCTAAAAATATCACAGCCACACACACACACCACACAGCGAACCACACAGCGAGCCACACAGCGAACCGCACGGCGAACCGCACGGCGAACCACACAGCGAATGGGCAGTTGGGGGCCACGCTCAGGACCTGTGCGTATTCCCTACAGGGACGTTAGCCCTATCCTTGCTCGAACTGAGAGGGCATCTACGCCACAGGGAAGCATTTGGTTGAGGTTTATATCACCTAGAGGAGGGCCATATCTCAGCTACGACTGAAGTCCACAACTATCATCAATCATCACTTTCGGCAGCATTCCCAGCAAAACAACCAGGCCGGGCCTGCAACCCATTTACGCTCGCTCACCTGCCGAGCGTCACACGACATATATCACCTGCCCACACACCAAAACACACCAAACACCTAATTATCAATCGCCATGTAATCTGCACCGGCATCACAGCACAAACACCCAGCAAAATGAGGATAGCCTGTCTTCAGTTCTCCCCCCAAGTGGGCGAGGTTGAAAAGAACATGTCCAAAGCCGACGCAGTCCTCGCTGCCTCGGCATCAGAACAACTCGATCAGGGACTCGACTTATTAATCCTCCCCGAGATGTCCTTTTCCGGTATTTATCCCTCTCCCCTACCATCACCCACACGGACAACTAACACGCACGAAAAGGCTACAACTTCCGCTCCCGATCCCAGATAGCCCCCTACCTCGAGTCCCCATCCACCGGACCAACCTCCTCCTGGGCCAAGCAAAAAGCCCAATCCTTCCGCTGCACAGTAGCAGTCGGCTACCCAGAACTCCAATCCCACACCAACGGGGAGTACTACAACTCCCTCCTGGTGGTCAACCCTTCCGGCAACCAAGTGGCAAACTACCGCAAATCCTTCCTCTACTACACCGACGCAACCTGGGCCAGAGAGGGCCCCGGCTTTTACTCTGACTCCCCAGAGAGTACAGTCTTTCCCGGGAAAACGACCGCGATGGGGATCTGCATGGACATCAACCCGTACAATTTCACCAACCCCTGGAATCTTTACGAGTTTGCAAGGCATTGCTCGACGGTAAAGGCGAATTTGGTCATAATCAGCATGGCCTGGCTGACGCTGGAGATGAGGGAGCGGTTCCTTACGGGAAGGGAAGATGAGCCCGACCTGGAGACGATAGCGTATTGGGTTGGGAGGTTGGAGCCGCTGATCAGGGGCCGGGGCGGGCACGCTGAGGAGGAGGAGATAATCATTGTTTTTGCCAACCGGTGCGGGTGGGAAGACGAGGCGGTTTACGCGGGCAGCTCGGCTGTTATGGGGGTTAAGGGCGGGGAGGTGAGCGTGTATGGGGTGCTAGGGAGAGGAGTGGAGGAGTTTTTGGTGGTTGATACGGATGGGGAGCCGCGGGGGAGGCTGGTGACGAAGAAGAGGGATGAGAACGAGGAAGAAGAAGAAGAAGAAAAAGAAGATGAGGAGGAGGAGGCATCGTCGGAAAAACAGCAAGAAAATCCTAACAACAATGAAAAATCACCAAACGGCCCCTCTCAACCGCAGAGTAACTCGAGCAACAGCAACAAAAACAACAACAACAACAACAGCCCATCACAACCCCCCTCATCCACCCACAACCAAAACCAAACCCAACTCCACCAAAAGCCAAAACTAACCCTCCTCACCGACCCTCACACCATCCCCCCCTTCCGCTCGGTCCCCCAAAGGAGCATGTTAACAACCCCCCAAACCCTCTACCGCTCACCAACCACCCCCTCACCCCTCTGGTCAATATCCCCTTACACCTCCAACCCCTTCAGCGACAAAAACGCCACCTCATCAGACCTCACCTCTTTTCCTGTGTCGTTCTCCTCCTTTTGCTTCTCGCCCCTCTCCCCACACTCCCTCCCCTCCCTAGACGACGCGGACGAATTCTTCGAAGCCTGGCTCGTGTCCCCCGTCTCCCCCAAGAGACAGGAAAAGCCAAGGCTGGGGTATTGGGAAGAGGAGAGACTCCAGAGCTGGAAATGGCCCAACGGCAATAGGGCTAGATTTGCGGGGGATGTTGACGACGGTGAGGAGGATGAGGAGGAGGAGGATGACGATGAGGATGTTTCGCCTAAAACATCAAAAAGAGAGGAGATGATAAGGATTATGGTGAGTCCGAGCTGTTGGGCCGATTTGCAGATGCCGCACCGGTGTATTTCTGGGCTGGTGGGGGGTACAAGGAGGGTTGAGGTAAAACAAATAACTAAAATAGCTCCGAATCTTTGATGGTTTTGACACAGAGATATGTCGTAGTTGAGAGGTCGGGGGTCGGGGAAGGGGGCTGGCTGTATATAGCACCTATCTGAGTGGCATACCGACTCACAAAATATCTCTAGCTTCTCATCATCATCATCATCATCATCATCATTATTAGGGTTGGAACACACCACCGGATCTCACATATCATGTGTTACCGGTGATTTCATGAGCAGGGAAAGCATGCATGATATTGCACATAAGAGAGTGTGAACAAAAAAACCTTCAAAGCTGATTTAAAGCATGCACGTGGAATGGTGCCTATCCTCTCATCATAATAAAACCTAATGCTTCAATAAAATACACAAAAGGACACCAACAAAACCCCCAGAAATGCTTGCTTGCTCCCTTTGCAAAAAGAACCAAAAAAGCACCAACGCCGACACACCCCAGAATGCTCAACCCCTTTCCTTCCCCTATTTATACCATACCTCCCCCAACGCCACGCAGTGTCTTTTCAACTCCCACTCCTTTATCTTCATTGTGTTCACAAAATTTTGATTTTTTTCTCCCATATAATATTTGATATTTCTTCCATGTAAAAAAAAAAAAAAAAAAAAAAACCAACCCTAATAAACCAGCAATTTCCATAGGTAAGTACCTCAAGTATCATCATCCTCCACATCAACTCCTCATCCCCATCCCCCATCCTCCCCCAAAAACAAAACAAAAAACAAAACAATTTCATTCTCTCTCCTCCTCTTGCCCCCCCCCCCCCCCCAAAACTTTCAAGCAACCCACCCCTCCGTTGTTTCCCCCTCCCCACCAGGTAAAACCAACCTATCCCTCACCAACAACGCAAGAC